TTCCGAGCGGGAGGCGGCGTCGCTGGGAAGGCCCCTTCCAAGGTCTGGCAGCGCCTCGGATCCGCGCTCATCCCCTCGGCTCTCCGAGGGGCACCGGTCTCGCGCTTGTGTCAAGGGACATTTAACAGAGGCCTCGTCTCTCCTCAGGGTCTGGATCTGTTCCACAGTTAGGGGCAGCGTTCACACAGATCCACGCAAATGACACCTTTTTCCCGAGTTATCCTGACTTGGATCTGCAGCAGGATTTGCCCTGTTTTGTAGGAAAGCTGCAGCACACCTGGAAACGCACACGCTCAACTGGGTAAGTGTCTCTCCCAGGCATTTGGGAAGGCTCTGGCCTCTCCCAAATGATGTTTTGGGAGAAAGGACTGAAATTCCCGCTGCAAATGGCAGGAGCTCCAGCTGCTGCCTGTGAACACATTCCCACTGCTCCCGGAGCTCCAGGCAGCGCCTGCCTCAGCAGGCCGGAGCCCGCGATGCCGGACGGAGCGCTCCGAGGTTAGCGGGGAGCCCGGGCGCCTCTCGGGCAGCTCCCGAGCTAAACGGACGTGCCAGGTGCCAGCTTGGAGGGCAAAGCTGGGGAACGCGGCCGAGGGAGCGCGAGGAACAAGCGATCCCGAGCTGGGCACGGACACTGGCTTCCAGAACAGGGGTGTCCAGCCCCACGCCTGGGCGACCTCCGCGTTCCCTGCACCCGGACGCAGCGCGTTGCGCAGAGGAGGCGCCTCTTGCCACAGCAGCACCCGGGGGAATCCGGCCTTTTCAAGGTGCTTTTTGGGACCTGCAGAGCCCCATCAGGGCAGGGTGGCAGTATCTGCACATCTGCAGCACGCGCAGGTCACGCCAACATTTTTCCACCTGCGCTTTGTGGAGAGACAGGGCTATGACCCGCAGCCCCCAGGCCCAAGCCATTGCCATGGCCTCATACGCAGCCACACACCAAGTCAAACCGAGGAGATTCACAGCAAGAAAAACACCTTTGTCCACTTGGCCAAGGTAAGAGGTGACGGCAAGGTACACAGATGGCCTTAGCTCTGCCCACCACGATGCCAGCAAGGAATAGAAGTTAAAAACCCATAACTGCACCTCATAGATCTAGTTCAACGCTCAAGTGTTTAACCGCGTACTCCACGGCATCACTTAGGCAAACCAAGGCTGCCTGGACACACTCCTTCCTTTCTGCCTGCGTTTCTTTCAAGTAGAGCCTTAACTCACACTTTTGGTTTTGCAGCTATTGCTGCAGGGATAAAGCAGGTTTCAAGGGTGCATTTACTTATATATCACTAACGTCACCTTCTCTCTAGGCTGTTTAAGGAGGAAACCCGCAGCGCCCGTCGGCACCACACAGCATCTTCCAACGAGGTGTTGTTCCCTTACCCATGCCTTGAAAATAAATAACACCGACCACACGCTCCTCTTGATGCCACGTGTTTAATCAGAAGTGAAAACTTAATCCTTATGAAACCCACACAGTTATGCTCAAACTAAGAGGACAGAACTGAAGCCTGACCCAAGCCATTAGAGCTTGTGATCCTTTCACTCCTAGAAACTCTTCCTCGGAAACACGAAATCCCGTTTCCTCAAGCGACTCTTTTCCATATATTAACTCCACAATTTACCTGCAGCTGCTAGTCCAGAAAGTAATTGATAATGCCAGAAATCCCCAAGGGAGGGTTGATGTCAGCAGTAACAATCCAGGTGTCACTTCACAGAACCAGCTGATCCCCCCAAGGTGAAATCCCAGGCGTCTCCTTTTCCCGGCCCTACATACTACGTTACAGGCCCTACAGACGCTCCCCAGGACCCCCTCTCCAGACATTCAGGCCAGACAAGGCGCTCGTTTCTCTTTTATACCCCTCAATATCCATATTCAGCTCCTACTTTGCTTGGAATCAGCCCTCTCTGGGTACAGAACACACTTGTTCTCAGTTTGCACAGCACCTGGCCCAGGGAAACTCCCCTCGCTGGCCCCTGGGTACCAAATAACCCAAGAAACCACCTGCCCTTCTGAGCCCCTCCCCTGCAACAGCTTCATTCTGATGCTTCAACAACGATGCAGCTCCCAGCACAAAGCAGGCAGCGACGCTCCAGGACATCCTCTCGGCTGCCCCAGCTACGTAACTGATTTTGCACCTGTTTTTCCTGGAAGCTAAAAAT